TTGCCAGAGATGAAGCGGGCTGATGAAGTTGGGAAAACTGATGACCCAAATCATTGCAAGTATCACAGACTTGTGACTCATCCTTTTGAAAAATGTTTTGTCTTCAAGGATAGAGTGATGTTATTGGTTAACGAAAAGAAAATTGTCCTTGATGATGAGAAGGATAGTTCTAACCAACTCTATATCACATTCGGCTCGCTTGATCTGGTCTAAATATATATCTCTAAAAAGCATGAAGAAGAGTCATTGGAGCAAGATAAACCTCAAATTGATATAGATGGTGATGAAGGTTGGATTCTTGTGTATAGGAGTAGACGAAACAAGCTAAGCTTACAAAAAGAATCATCCGAGAAATTGATTAGAAGGAAGATAGTGAGGAAACTGGAGAAGCAAAAATCAATCAAGCACCCAGAGAGGGAAAAGGTAGAAGTGCATCACTACCAAAAACCTCGATGTCATGTGACTCTAGAGGAATTCCTACCAAGTTCGTTCTGCACAAAGTCTGCTCAAGACAATGTTAAGGCATTATATTTCAATGTTGATAAATAAGAAACAATGAAAGTGTCTCCTACTAACAAAGAAGGAACAACGAGTAAATCCTCACCAAAAGTGTCTCCAAGAAGAAGCAACGAGGGAAATCTCATCAATGATGTATCCTTCGTTTTCTGAAAAACCTATTGAGCCTCCATCCCAAGAAGAGCATACATGTGATACAAAAACCACATTTACAGACAATGATCTTATGTGTGGTGAAACACTACACAATCATCCTTTGTATGTGGTGGGTCACGTGCTTGAGAAGAAGATAAATAAAAACTTAATAGATGAAGGATCTGGAGTCAACTTTCTGCCTATCTAAACATTGAAAGAACTTGGCATCACGACTAAAGAACTAAGTGAAAGTCATTTGTTGATACAAGGATTCAATCAAAGGGGATAGAGGCCATTGGCTCTATTAAATTTGAAATCCACATGCAAGATTTGCGATCAAGCTCATGGATGCATGTGATCGGTGCAAAAACTTCATAGGATATATTACTTGGCAGACCTTGGGTACATGAGAATAAATTGTCTCGTCTTCTAACTATCAATGTTTGAAGTATCTTGGAGGAGAGATTGAAAGGAAGATAGTTGTGGATGACAATTCTTACATCGAAGTTGAGACACACTTCGTTGATGCAAAATTTTATTTGAAGAGTTATGTTGTGAAAGGGTCAAAATCTAATGATATCAAATCAATCAAGTTTGATAACATAATAGCAAAAGAATCAGTGTGGCTGTCGGAAAGGTAAAAGTTGATACTAAAGAACTTTGTCCCATTTTGAGATAAGGGAAGATCATGTCTTTGAAGAAAAATATGCCTTATGTACTTCTCTATGTTCCAAAGGTGAAGAAAGAAGAAGGTTATTTATCTAACCTTCAAGAAAATGCATTGAGAGGACTAACTCTTCCTATTAGACGAATTGATACAATAAACTTGTCTTCGAAGTTGCAAGGAAAGTCAATCCCTCAAAATTAAGTGCGCGATGTGGCACTCCCTACATAACACACAAGAGAAAGTTTTGATCCCAATGCTTATAAGTTATTTTTGAAGGCTGGATACAACCCTAATGAGCCATCAATGTTAGGGGAACTTCCATCGGAAGATAAAACTAGGCAAGCACGTGAAGGCCTAGGCTATAGACAACCGCCGCCAATTCACATTTCCATAAGAAGGGAAAGCAATAACCATATAACTATAGAAGATGATGTCATTGCTTTCAAAAAAAGCCTTCCATCTTTGATCGACTTGGAGAATCAACTACAAGAATTTCTATATTTTAGAGGTTAGGCCTATTGAAGAAGAAGAATAACAAGCATCAGAAAAGTTATCTAAGAGTGACAATGCTTGCTTCAACTATGATCCAAAAGAATTTCAAAAGTTTGATTCCTTCTAGAATAAGGCGATGAGTGGAACTTTTGGTTTCTTGTAAACAGGAACTAAAGGCAAAGACTCACACTGTCGTTTACACCAAGGGGCGCAAGGAAGATGAAAAAAGTGTAGGTTTCTCATATCATGTTACAATCCAGAATGAGGATGATGCCTTGCCACATATGAAGATTGATAAAGAGTTGTAAGATATTTTCTGGTGTTATCATATAACTATCAATGACAATGATCCTCTAGAAGATGAAGTTGTTGGAGATGCTCTACCCGAACTTGAAGAAGGAGTGAAGACCACAACAGATCCCTTAATGGAAGTTAACCTTGGCACTGATGAAGACCCAAGGCCAACTTACCTGAGTGATCTTTTAGAAGTTGATGAAGAAATTGCTTATATGAATATACTCAAAGAATATAGGGATGTCTTCATTTGGAGTTATAAAGAAGTGTCTAGCTTGAATCCTAAAGTAGCAGTCCGTGAGTTGGCAGCCATGAATGGTTATCGTCCTGTTAAGCATGCCTAAAGACGTTTTAGGACAGACTCGATTTCATTGATAGAAAATGAAGTTAACAAGCTCATTGAGGCAGGCTTTATTTGTGAAGTCAAATATCCTGCATGGATTTCTAGTAATGTTCCTGTGAGGAAGAAGAATGGCCAAATTTGAGTTTATGTTAACTTCAGGGATCTCAATAATGCATGCCCTAAAAGATGAGTTCCCTCTTCCCATTCCAGAGTCCATGAACGATTCCACCACTAGCTATGAGGGCAATGTCGTTCATGGATGGTTCTTCCGGGTATCATCAAATTTGCATGGCACCAAATTATGAAAAACTCACTGCATTTCACACACCTTAGGGTATTTATTGCTACAAAGTAATGTCATTTGGTTTAAAAAATGTTGGTGTCGCATATCAAAGGGCTATGCAAAATATATTTGATGACTTGCTCCATAAAAATGTTGAATATTATGTTGATGACTTGGTGGTAAAGTCAAAAAAGAGGGGTGATCATTTAAAGGACTTAAGAATTGTGTTTGAGTTGCTCCAAAGATATCAACTTAGGATGAATTCATTATAATGTGCCTTCGAAGTTACTTCTGGCAAGTTCCTTGGCTTCATTGTGAGAGATCAAGGAATTGGAATTGATCAAGCTAAAGTTGATGCAATTTCGAAGATGTCTGAGCCTCAAAATATTCATAAGTTAAAAAGTTTCCAAGGAAATCTAACCTATTTAAGGAGGTTCATCTAAAATCTAGCGAGAAGATGTCAACCATTCGGTCATCTCATGAAGATTGGTGCTCGTTTTAATTGGGACCAAACATGTGGTGATGCCTTTAAAAGTATAAAATCATATCTAGCGAAACCTCCAGCCCTATACTCGGAAAGCCACTGATACTCTACATTGCGTCACAAGAAAGGTCTATAGGAGCCCTATTAGCTCAAGAAAATAGTGAAGGAAATAAAACTCTCTTTATTACTTGAGTAAAACAATGATGCCAAATGAGCTAAACTATTTGCCAATTGAAAATTTGTGCTTGGCGCTAGTCTTCTCTATTCAAAAGATAAAGAATTATTTTCAAGCTCACATTGTTTGCCTTATTTCTAGAGCAAATCCCATCAATTTTGTTATGTAGGCACCTATCCTTAGTAACCGACTAGCAAGATGGTACCTCCAATTCCAATAATTCGAGATGGTGTACATCCCTCAGAAAGTTGTGATGGGACAAGTAGAGGTAAATATTTTATCAAACCACCCGATACCAGATGATTGGGAGTTAATTAATGAGCTTCCTGATGAAGATGTGATGTCAATTGAAATTCAACCTCTTGGGAAAATGTACTTTGATAGGGCTGCACATCGTGGAGGAGCTGGCATTGACGTGGTGTTCGTCACTTTACAAGAACAAATTCTACCACTCTCCTTTACTTTGAAACAATTCCAACAATGTCGTTGAATACCAAGCATTTATACTTGGACTTGAAATGGCCGTCGACATGAAGCAATTACACTAGCAAATTTTTGGTGACTCTATGTTGGTGATCACTCAACTCTTGGGAATTTATGAGGTGAAGAAGCCTCAATTGAGCCCTTATCATGATTATGCTCAAACGTTGATAGGATTGATCGGAGATGTAACCCTTCAACATATGCCTAGAATGGAAAACAAGATAGTTGATGCATTGATTGCCTTGGCTTCAATGCTAACCCTTCCTGATCAAACATAAGTTACTATTTGCCAAAGTTGGATAGTACCACAACCAAATAAGGATGAATATATAGAAAATAAGCTTGAGTATCTCGTCGGTCTTTTGGAAGCCATGAAGAAAGATTGGAGACAACCCATTACTGACTATTTGTGTTATGGGATACTTCCAAAAAATCCAAGGAGAAAGACTAACATTCGTCATTGTGCACCTCGCTCCCTTTACTACAAGGACACATTCTTTAGAAGATCATTTGAGGGAGTACTCTTGCGATGTTTGGGAGAGAAAGAAGCAACCCAAGCTCTACAGAAAGCACACTTAGGAGTATGTGGATCACATCAACCTAGAACAAAGATCCACTTTCACATAAAGAGAATAAGGTATTATTGGCCAACCATGGTGAAGGAGATGCTTAGATTATGCTCAGAGGTGCAATGCTTGCCAATTTCATGTGAATTTCATACATCAGCCACCCAAAGTATTACACCCAACTGTCGCATCTTGATCATTTGACGCTTGGGGATTGGATGTTGTGGGACTTGGACACTTGTACATATTGGCCACAACAGATTAGTTCTCAAAATGGGCCGAAGTTGTCGCTCTTAAAGAAGTGAAGAAAGAGAATGTTGCAAATTTCATCCAACTGCATATCATCTATCACTTTGGCATCCCTCGCTACATAATAACGGACAATGGAAAGTCATTTGATAACAAGCTAATGAACAAAATTTGTGATCTCTTTGGCTTCAAAAAGCATAAATCTTCTATGTATCATGCTTCCGCCAATGGTATTATTGAAGAATTCAATAAGACTCTATGCAACCTGCTCAAAAAAGTTGCCTCCAAGTACAAACGAGATTGGAATTAAAGAATGGAAGAAGCTTTATGGGAATATAGGACAACATACCGCACACCAACTCTAGCAACACCATATTCACTTGCTTTTGGAGTTGAAGCAATTCTACAACCTATGCGTCAAATACCTTCCTTAAGACTTGCTATTCAAGAAGCACTCACTGAAGAAAAAAATGCTCGACTACCTCTTGTTGAGTTAGAAGCACTTGATGAAAAGAGGCTAGAAGCTCAACAAAATTTTGAATGTTATCAAGCTCGTTTATCTCAAGCTTTCAATAAGAAGGATCGCTTGAGGTTCTTCCAAGTTGGAGATCAAGTCCTCGAAATAAGAAGACTCGTCATTACTCGCATAAGTTTGCGGACAAATTTACCTCAAAGTGGGCCGAACCATATGTTGTACAAGATGCATATTCATATGGTTCTTACAAGCTTGTTGATGCAAATGACGTAAGGATCGGTCCTATTAATGCCAAATTCTTGAAGAGGTTCTACCCTTGAAGTAAGATGATGCTCCTTAAGGTACGAGCCTAAATTGCATGTCACTCCCGGCCCGCAAGAGTATAAACTGTGTACGAAACAGCTAAAAAAAAACAAAAAAAAACTCTCTCGAACTATGTTGTGACATGATCCTCTTCATTGAGGTACATAGTCGCTTAGAACCATATTCTAAGTTCAGTTGCATGAGTGTAAAAAACCCACATTTTTCACTTGATTTGTCATATGAAAGTCAAAGTTATAAGTATTTTGTTTTATCTTTTGTGTCATCAAACTTTAGACTTGTACGAAGTATTGATGAGTCAATATGAGGGGGCAAACCCTTATAAATAAAAATATGATCTTTTTAACAGTATGCTGGAAGTCTTTAAATCCAGCCAAGTATGCAAATTGAAGTCTTTAAGTTCTTCAAAGTTTGCAAGCTGAAATCTTTAAGTTCTTCAAAGTTTGCAAGTTGAAGTCTTCAAGGTTTTCAAGTTGAAGTCTTCAAATCCTTCAAATATGCAAGATGAAGTCTTTAAATCCTCCAAATATGAAAGTTGAAGTCTTAAAATCCTCCAAGTATGCCAGTTGAAGTCTTTAAATTATTCAAGTATGCAAGTTGAAGTCTTTAAATTTTTCAAGTATGCAAGTTGAAGTTTTCAAATCCTCCGAGTATACAAGTTGGAGTCTTTAAATCCTCTAAGTCTGCAAGTTGAAGTCTTCTAATCCTCCAACTCTGCAAGTTCAAGTCTTCAAATTTGTCAAGTTTGCAAGTAGAACTCTTCAAATCCTCCAAGTATGGAAGTTGAAGTATTCAAATCATCCATGTATACAAGTTGAAGTCTTCAAATCCTCCAAGTATGCAAGTTGAAGTCTTCACATTATTCAAGTATGCAGGTAGAAATCTTCAAATCCTCCAAGTATGAAAGTTGAAGTCTTCAAATCCTTCAAATATGCAAGTTGTTAACTTTGTATGCCTTAAGGTGGACAAAATTATCCCTTTGCACCTTAAGTTGGCCTTCTCACGGATTTATCCTTGAAAGGATCTTTAAATTCTCATGTCTTAAGGTGGACAAAAGAAATTGTCCCATTACACCTAAAGTTGGTCTTTTCAAGAATTTATCCTTAGATGGACCTTTAAATTCTCATTCCTTAAGGTGGACGAGATTTGTCCCTTTACACCTTAAGCTGAACTTTTTACGGATTTATCCTTCAATAGATCTTTAAATTATCATGCCTTAAGGTGGACGACATTTGTCCCTTTACACCTTAAACTGACCTTTTAACGGTTTTATCCTTAAAAAGATCTTTAAATTTCCATGTCTTAAGGTGGAAAAAAAGTTGTACCTTTGCACCTTAAGCTAGTCTTTTCACGGATTTATCTTGAATAAATCTTTAAATTTTCATGCCTTAAGGTGAAAGAAATTTGTCCCTTTGCACCTTAAGATGGCCTTTTCACGGATTTATCTTTAAAAGGATCTTTAAATTTTCATGCCTTAAAGTGGAAAAGATTTGTCCTTTTCCACCTTAAGTTGGCCTTGATGTGAGGCTAAAAATATATATTTTAATCATTATTTGCCTCACATTTAGTATTTGTGCTTGTCCTTTTTGAGCATGGATTTTATGGATTGTGCTAAATAGTGTATTTTATTTGTGGACTAAAATGACGTGAAGATGAAGAAATTTGGAGCATAAACGAATTAAAAATAAGAAATCATATAAGTAAATTAAGCAGGAAGCTTAATTGATTAAATTGAATATTATATTCATACTCATATATAAGTTGCAAAGCGAATTGGAAAAGCAACCGACTTATCCGGAGCTTCCACATGGCAGGTTGCTGAAGACTTCAAATTGTTGGAGCAGCGTTTCTACAAACAAAAAAAAGAACGTGGAAATCCAATTCAATTGGGTTTGGGTTTCCTAATTTGTGTTGGACTAAATTATTTTTTTTAGGTTTCTTCATCTATAAATAGTCCATAAAATTATTCTTTCAAAAGCAAGCCAAGAAACAATCTCTTCGTTTTGATTGCTTTTTAAGGGTTGCCGACATTAGAACTCGATGTATTCCTACTTACCCGACCAAGGAAGTAATGAATGGAAAAAAGAGATTAAACAACGGAGATTTAGCGTGATAATCCGCTATCTAATAGTCTGATCCACCTACTGCAAGGAATAATATGTGGTTAAGGGTAAGGGTTATTAAAGCATACACTTATAGATCAAACAAGTTGTGTGGTGAAATTTCTATTTGGACCACCAATCACTTAGGAGATACATAACTTACTGACTTGCATGCTAAAAATTGAAATAGTTCACTAGTTCAAGATTCTTGCTATGATATGAAATCATGGGGAATACATTCCTAGCTATTTCTGATAATCTGAATATAAATAAATACTTAGTTCCAAGCTATTGTTATTTTTTTTATTATAATTTAAATCCCCCCTTTTTAAATACCGACTATCGAATTAAATATTTGTTAATGACAATATTCTTCTGTATTCTCTGTAGGATCGACCTCGACTCATAGTTAGGTAAATATATTACATACGATCGTTTATATTTCTTTTCAAGAAGTATATTTGGACGTTATCAAAAAATGGTGTCGTTGCCGGGGAATGTGGCTTAGAAATTGTCTTTAGTATTTATTTTGACTTGTAGTTTTTTTAATTCTAGTTTTCTCGAATTAGTTTTAATTTAATTTTCTTGATTATTATTATCATGTGTTCTACTCTTCTTGAGATTTCATCTGAAAAGTATGTAATGATAAGCGTTTTTGCAATTACTGTAATTTTGATATTATGGATTCTTATGGGTTATTTTTTCAACAAGATAGTATGTATGGGGACATGGAAGATTTGTTGATACTCTCCTATAAATCAATATGTAAGTGCATGCATGAGGTTGATGTGTTTGGTATGGATATTTATAAATTAAATGTTGAATTGAGTGCAAAGATTAATGTGTTTGAGACCCAACAAGTTAGTTGTACAATGTGTGAGGAAGAAAAAATGTTTATGAGCCAACTTGAAAGGCTAAAATTGGAGGGTCAATTACTTGATCATATTTTTATTGATCATGTCACTATTGAGAAGAGTACACTAGAGTTATGTAATGAAGTAGATAATATTATTTTTAAAAACTCTAGTATGTGTAAATATGAGGGTGTGAATAATAATAAAATTCATAAGTTAGGGCGCATTGGAGCTTATTCTAATCATTTTTCCACACTATGTTTAGATGATAAGATATTAGTTGATCCATCTGAGTGTATAGAAGAGTGTATGGAGGAGAAACAATTGTCTATATTCTTGAATTCATTGTTCCAAAATTGGAGAATTACATTCCTCACTTAGGATCCAAGAAGTGTTTAATGCGATATCTATTGCTTGGGACCTTTATTTTTGTTCCACCACCTTGAGCGTAATAGAAAAATTGATGCAAAACTAGGTGTGCAATTCAGATCTTCAAAGTGGATGGAAAAATAGTAAAATTTATGTCGTTCCGCGACTTTAAATCAAGCGTCTATTGGGAGACAACCAAATTTGTAGTGTAACTTCTTGTTTTATTTTTTAGTGCCACATTTTTTGTTCTTTTTTTTTTTTATTTTACAGATTTAGGGGAAGTCTGGGTACCCAAATATGAAGCTAAGGAACAAGTTTAGAGCATAAGTGTGGGGTGCGCGCGACACTTGATGAAAGGAGAGAAAACATGTTGTTAGCTAGGCCATAGAGGGTCGGAGGGAGCATTTATAGCACTTCTTCTTCTCTTTTCTTTAAATTTCTTTGGGGAGAAAGCATGATTGTAAGTGTGGGGTGAAAATTCTTCCGATAGTTGTGAGCTTAAGGCTGAGTATGCCATAGGATTTTATTATTTTTATTGTAGTTTTTAGAGGCATATCTCATCCACCCCTTGGTTTTTCTTATGGCATTGGTTCTTCTTCGAGAGGGCACCCTTTGAAAAAGTAATTTTCTTTTTTAAGAGTAATTTTTTTTTGGAGAAACAAGAAAAATAACCTTTTTGACTTGTTTGATACTAGCAATTTAGGCCTTAGTTGAGTAGTACTTTTCTTTGAGTGCTTGAGAATAAAATTTAAAATAGACTTTTTGACATCTAGGCTCATGGTTGTGACTCTATATATAACATATTCTTATTTATAAGTTGTAATGATTCTGGCCATCTTGCAAGTAGAATTGATCCATCTTGATTGAGACTTGTGCCATGTGTGGTGAGGTTGTTTGCATATATTTCATGTTTTGCATCATAGTCTAGAACTTGTCCTGTGTGTTATTGAAGCAAAATAAAAAATATTGCTTTGTTTAAAATATGATAATAGGCTTTCTTTGATTTGTCTTGTAAAATTTTAGCCTTTGAAGATATTATATCATTAGTATCATCTTTGAGCTTGTAGTCTTTCATTTGTAGCCTTATATTATCTTGATCCATTTTTTGAATCCCTAATCTTTGCACCCTGCTTCCTTGAGCATTGTAGCATAAATTTTGATAAAATTATTAGATTTAAAGAAAAGGGATGGTTGAAAAAAGAAGAAGTGAAAAGGTGACCAATGATAGTTACTTGTGATGAGAAGGGCCTCTTAGGAAGAGTGTGACAAAAAAATTGCTTGAAAAAGAAAAAAAATGATTGAAGCATTCTTAATATGATGAGAATTACTTGTGAAAATATTTGAAGAGAGGGCTGAAAAAAATGATGAAAATAATGGGTGGTGAAAAGAAATATATAGAAAAAAATGTAAAGTACTTAGGGAAGTTTAAGTCACTATTATATAGTTTTCTACTTATCCCTAGCCAATATTACAACTCATTAAAGTCATATTTGAATCTATTGAAGCATACTTAATAAGTGAAGATGTACGTAATGAGCAAGTCTATGGTTCTTTGTGCATACATGTGAATTCTTTTGTGAGTGAGAGAGTTGGTCTTTGATGCTTAGTCCTTGATTTGTATTAGATT